ACAGGTAGTCCAAAGAAACAGTCCTGAACTCCAGAATTTGGGGGTGGGGCAAAGGGATCTCTTTGGGGTGGTATCGTTTGGGAGAAATGACACTGTCCCCGTACCGTCTCATCACCTCTTGTAGCCCCAGGAAAAACAGGGCAGGAGGGCTGGAACCTGGCCAGAACTGGAGCTCCTGCCATGAAAAAGACACCTGGGTCTGCAACAGAGACTCACTGCCCTAAATTCAACTGGTGACCTTGGCCCAGCCTTCCCCTGATCTCAGGACCTCAGTTTACCCACCTGTACTATGTTTGGGGGATGGGATAGGGGAGACTTGCTGGTTTCTTTGTGTCCTTTCTGTTCTGAGAGACCCTCAAGATCTTTCCTGTCTTTCAGAGAGAACAAGGGATCCTGATCTATGTCTTTCAGATTATTCTCCTATGGCCCTAAAAATAAGCAGCCCCGTTAAGCTTTACTGGCTCCCCTGCCCTCCCTGGGACTCTAGCGAGTTACTTGCTGCTCCAGTCTGGTGGGTCTTGGGTCTCTGCTGGGCCACCCACGTGGCAGCCACACATCATGCCACACTGACCTCCAGCTCACCTCTGAGGGTGCCCAGCCTCCTCTGGTCAGCAGGGCTCCCTGGCAGAACATATCCAGCTCAGATCAGGCCTCTGACCTCGGGCTTTCCCTCCTGCTCCCCAGGCCCCCTCCCCAGACCTGGTGCCCACTCCTTCTGTCCCTGGCTTCCTGCCACTCAGGCTGGAAGGGGTGTGGGGGGGTGACAGCTGTGTAAGCGATGGTGGCTGCCCCCTTCCTGCCCCTCCCCCCCAGCTGTCTCTCTCCCATGACAGCTGCCCAATCAAAGGGCCGGGGGCTTAGCCAGCTCCCCCCACATGCAGGGATCAAGTGTCCACCCTGGCTTTGTTCTGGAGCAAGAACAATCCGGGGGAGGGGAGGGCTCCTGGGGCTAGGCAACTCAAGTAGACTGGCCCACCCCTTGGGGATTCCCTTGTCTCTTCTGGCCAGAGTATCTGGACCAGTTGGGGCCTGTGGACCCACCTGGATGAGAGAAAGGGGGATCCAGTCTCAGCTTTATTCCCCACCTCACATCCCTCAATTTCTCCCTCAGCTCTCCCAGCTCCCAACCTAGCAGCTTACTTCTATTCCAAAAGCAGTCATGCGGGCCACACCCAGTGATGCTAGGGAATGGCTCAGAGCATCAGGCAAGGCAGGGTGTGGCAGGAGGTGGACACTGGGCAGGGGGCAGGGGGTCAGCATGGAGGGCTACTAGCTCCCCTGCCTGTAGCCTAATTGAGGGATGCTCACCCTTGCTGATTAGCTAGACCACCACAAAAACTGCCCCTCAGACCATGGGCCCAGCCTCAGCCTTTCAGTCTCCCTTTGGAGGGAGAAGGGGAGTATAAGAGAGCAGCCTGGGGTCTATAAGCTCCAGACTCTGGTTTCTTGCTTTGGGTCTATTTCATAGACAAAGTAAAGAAGGAGGAGCTTGGAAAGGGGACCTCTGATAAGGTCCCCTTATCAGAAGCTATAAATGCTACAGCCTCCCCTCCTCAGGGCATCATTAGATAGCCCCCAAAGAGTCTTCACAACCAAGGGAAACCAGATAGGGCTCAGGAGAAATGCCACAGCACCACTCACTGGTACCCACTCCTGCATGATCTCGCTCAAATTGAGAAAGGTCTCTGGCTTCCATTCTCCATGCTAAAGACAGCGCACTTTCTCTGCCGCTCAGTAGCCACGATTCCCAGAACCCAAGGAGTAAACCCATGGACAGGCGGCAATCAAGGCCCTTCATGGTCCATCCCCTGCTAACTCTTCTTGTCTCATCTCTACCCCATCCCCCATACAGGTCAGGCTGCAGAACCACCTCCTACCACCTCCAGGCCTCTGGGCCTTTGCCCAGGCTGATGATCCCAGTTTGAAAGGCCCATCCTCCTCACTCTCTATCAAAATCCTTCCCAAATGCCACCTCCTCTGTGGAGCCTTCCCCAACCTTCCAAGTCAGATGAGACACACTCAGGCCTCTGTGCCCCCAAAGATATGGCTGTAACTCAAAGGAATCCCAGTTGAGCATTTCAGAGCCCGTCCTTCCACTACCCTGAGAGATCCAGGAGGATAAGAAATTTGAGACAGGACCAGGCTCAGAATACAGGCAGAATTGTTAGGGCTCACAGGGCCTGAGATCGCTAGAGACCATGAGGCTCACCTAAGGACCCAGGGTTGAAGGACTAGCCACATGGGCAGAGAGCCAGGCTCTACCTGGATAGGATTCTCAGTTCTTTCTCAGCACCCAATAGTCCCTACTCCTGCTTTTTTTTTTTTTGGGGGGGGGGTCTAGAGACTCCCTGGGCATGTTGCTGGAATGAAGAATTTGGACTGTGTTTTGAGATTTCTAGGGAATCAGAATAGGTCACCCAAGAAGGGGGGTTGCAAGAAGCACTAGAGCATGGGATAGGTTTCACAGAACTGAGTTGGGTTCAGCCTATCACAACTAGAAAGGCTTCACCAATCAAGAGAAGAACCTGAGGTCCAGAATATAAGGGAATTGTTTGTAAGACTACATGCCACAACTGGCAGACTGGGAGAACCCGGGGTCCACCTGGGCAGCTCAGTGCTCATTCCTCAAGAGGTTGGTGCCACTGGGCAATGGTGATGGAGACTGGAGGAGAGAGGCAGTGATGGGAGTAGGGTAAGTGGACAGAGCCTGTCTGGGGACACAGGGTGGGGCAAGTCAGCCTCCCCACGGCCTGGGCCTGCCAGGGTGTGTGGGCCGCCTGCTCCCAGCCCCCCACCCTGGGCATGCAAGGAGAACAATCCCCTTGTGTTTGGGCAGTCTGAGCCTGCATGCTGATGAAGGCTAGGGGGTGGGGGCAGGGATGGGGGTGCCTTGCAAGTTGAAGGGGTTCCAGTTCCTGGAGAGGTTAGGAGATCTTCAGATGGGGAAACAATAGGGTACCAGGTACTGGTCCTGAGGCCATGAGGGTGACCCCAAGGGCTAGATCTCAGCCCCTGGGGAGTGCCTGGGGTCTAAGAGCTCTTTGTGGGGGAAGGGGGAGCCCTAGTGACACAAGTCCTGTTGGTCCAGCAAGAAGGTGATCATCTTTGGCTTGTTGTGGACCCAGAGCCCCATATTCTGGGAACAGGGGATGCAACTGGCTTAGGGTACATCCCCTTGAAGACCACTCCCTTGGGTGTTGGGGTGGGGCGGGGCCCTGGGTGCCACAGGTCTCAAGATGGCGGTCCTGGGATAGGGGAGTGAAGAGGCAGGCACCTCCCTCCCCAGGCCAGGCAGGCAGAAGCGCCAGGCTGAAGTGAGTAACAGAGACCCCCCACCCCCCAGGACCCCAAACAAGAAGCTAGGTCAGAACCTAGGAGTTGAATAGGAATAGAGCAGGAGGGACCACTTTTACCCTCAACTACCATCTGCATACACCCTTGGCCTGGAGGTCTGTGTCTGGTTCTCTGAGGACTGCAGAGAATGGGAAGGGGTGTGTGCAAGCCAGGAGCTGCAGGAGAATGGCAGATGTGGAAAGAACCCCCAACACAGGGCAGGCTTAAAGGACAAAAAGCGCGAAAGGGATGGGGCCTCAAATCTGGTACCTAAGGTCCAGGAAGCCCCTGCCTGGTGCTGGGGGCTCTCCTGGCAGACCAGTGCCCCCCACCTGTGCAGGCCTCAGCCCTATGGGGCAAGGAACGTGCTCCTCGCAGTCTCCCAGGACCCCAACCCACGTACTCGGGCATCAACTCCCCGCCCCCAGCCGAACCCCCAAACTTCGCTGCCCGCCGTGCCCCGCCCGGCCCGCGCCCTACCTCGCTGGGGCTGTCCTGCGGCGGCGGCGGCGGCGCGGCGGCTGGGCCGCTCAGTCCCACATTGTCCCCGGGAGAGGCGGCCGCTCACAACTGCGAGTGACATCAGCTGCGAACAATGAGGGGTTTGACAGGCGCGGAGCCCGGCCGGCCCGGAGCCCGGCTCCGCGCCCCCCCCACCCCCCGGCCCGCCTGGCCCGGCCCCTCCCCGCCCCCTCCCCGGATCCGATTACAGCGCGGCGGGCCCGCCCCAGCCGCCCCAGTGCCGCAGCCGCCCGCCCCGCCCCGCGCGCCGCGGTGCGCCCCGAGCGGCGGCCGCTTCCGGGAGGGCTCTGGCGACCCTTCCCCCGCAGCTCCCAGAGCCCTCGGCCGTGGCGGAGCAGGGGGTCCAGCTTGAAGTGTGGTACCCAGCCACGGTCCCCCCCGCGCCCCCCACACTGCGCCAGGCCCTGGAGCCCCTCAGCTCCCACCCGGCCAGTCCTTCCGACCCCGCGTATCTGCTGAGCCCCCTGCATCCTCGATTCCGGCCCCTGCACTCGTCCCTGCGCTGCCGGGCTCCCACTTCTGGTCCGTCGGACCTCAAGCTTGGACCCTCTGCCCCGCCCCGGCTCTCCTCGCTTCTGCTCCATCCTCTGCTCCGGGCTCTCGCCCACCAAGACCCGCTCCCCTCAGCCACCCACAGCTTCCGCACCGCACGTCCCGGCCCTTATCCGCGCAGGACAGGTTACCCGACCAGCCGGAGGAGGGGCCTGAGAGCCGTGTGGCCCTTATGCACCCCGCCCCGTGATTCCCCCAAATGTACACCCAGAAATCCTTTTGGGGTTAGGGTCCAAAGGGACGGGGCACCGTTTCAGTTCTTTACTAGGGAAAGAGTAGGGGGAGGAGCCGAGCGGTTCCCAAGTCCCCTGCCCCTCCCCCACTCCATCGGGAGCAAATATTCCTCCCCCTCTCCTCTGTAATCGGCTCAGCCTGGTCCCACTGACCTCCACCTCCCCCACAGCTGAGTCTCTTGGCACCTGGGTGTGTGTGGGTGGGGAGGGGAATCCAATCTCTCTTTCCTTCCATCTGGTCTGGTGGACAAAGGGCAGGGGGACCATCTGGTCCCGCCAGGGTGGGGGAGGGGCCGACAGTGGCAGTCCCAAGGGGCGGAGGTAGGGGCGGTGCTCCGGAGACAGCAAGAGCCTGTGGGGTCTAATTGCAGCACTTTATTTCACCGACCTTTACAATCCATCTTCCTACCCCAACCCCCAAACCTCAGGGCAGGAAACAAGCTTAGCTGAGAAGACCCAGGCCTAATAACCTGGGAAAGTGTGGAACGCCCAGAAGGAAGGGGGCAATTCTGAGCTGGGACCAGTTGCAACCTATGGGTGGAGCCTCGGGCTGGCCACATCCTGAGCATAGCAAGAGAGTCACCAGCAAGGGATGGCATGTGAGGTCCCCAGTGAGGTCTGCATGTGTGGAAGTGTACCTGTGTAAGCACTTGTGTTATATGCATGCAATGCACACTACACATGAGAATGTGCGTGCCAGTCGAGTTACATATACCTGTATGGTTTGGCTCTCAGGTGAAAGGTCCTATTTGGGAACATAGATTCAAATGTGTAAGCATGCAAGTGGCCTAAGAGGGCTAGAGAAGTGGAGGAGGGAGTGGCTGGCCTGTAGGGCTTAAAGAAGGAGGTGGAGGTGGAGGGGAGGAGAGGGCAGGGGAGGGGAGGGCAGGGGAGGGCAGGGCAGGGGAGGGCAGGGCAGAGTAAGGAGTTAAGGCCAAGCAGAAAAGCCTGTAGGAGAAACTCATCAATTACCCTTCACCAGGTTATGTTCCTCAATTCCTGAGGGTTTTTTCCCCACTCTTGATTTTACCTTCTCAATCTGTCACTGCAAGAGAAATCAGAAAAAAGGCAGACAGACCCCAAAAGACAAGACTCCATATAGACTTATAGACAGACAAACCTGTTGCATGTGCATAAGCCAGAGCCCATGTAGGAGAAGAGAGAGATTCCCAAGGCAGGCAGGAAGGCAGTCCACCCCCATCTGCAAGGCTGAGCCTCATGCTAGCCCCTGCAGGAAGTCCAGCAGCCCTGCATGCCACTCCTCGGGCTTATCCAGGTAACAGGGGTGCCCAGCCCCCTCCATAACTAGCACACGGTGGTTGGGCAGCTGCTTCAGGTGCTCAAAGCTGGTGTGACCCATGGGGTCCTGGTCTCCATATACGATTAAGGCCGGAGTCTGAAAGGAAATGGGAGCAGAGTCAACAGGGCCTGCCATTCCAGCCTCCTGAAGGTCAGTTCTAGCCATCATCGGTGACACACTGAGACAAGCTGGATCAGTAGGTTGGGGGCTTGGATTTGTGTCTGCCCCAGCACACAATTTAGTACAGAGCTTAGTACAGAAATCTGATAAGTACATCAAAAGGATGGAATTTGGCAGTCATTTCCTCCCAGAGGCCACCCATTGGTTACCCAGCCCCCAGATGAGGAAGACTCAGGATGGACCCTTCCAGGCTCCTGGCAGGGGTGTCTCAGCTTCCCACACAAGGGTACCTTCACATTGGCATAGTCCGCAGCACTGATTTTGTCAGTACAGATGGGGGCCACTGGCACATAGCCCCGGAGCTGGGAGCCAGGGGCCGTGAGGAACGGCAGGGAGTACATGCCACTTAATGATGGACTGATCACAACTGGGGGGCCCAACTCCAAGGCATCCACAACAGCCTTCAGGAAGCTACCAGGAACCAGCTCACCAATAGGAGCAGGGGCTGCTGCTTCCTTGGAGTGGCCCAGACCTGCAGAGATTCAGGTGTGGGAAAGGCAAGAGAAGGATAGTGAGTGGGAAAACAAAGGTCTCTTCCTCCAGGAAGCCCTCCCAGGAACCTCAATCTCTCTGTGCCCAGGTTCCTACTTATACCCAGTAGCCCAAGTTTACAACTGTGGCAGCCTAATCTATCATAAATATGGCAAGCATAAGCATTTCCCTCCATACTGTGCCCACCTTTCCCACTAACAGTATCCTGAAAAAAAATCAGGATCTGAAGTCTAACAGTGCTGAATCCAAGTCCCAGTTCTCCATTTACTGTCCATGTGACCATTAGCAAGTCCCTTCAACCCTCTCTCAGCTGCTCAGTGTCCCCTGATAAAAGAGGATAACAAAAGTACCTGCCATTGAAGACTATTGTGGGAAAATAAGTTGATTAATTAAAGGGCAACTGGCTGTGAATTAACACAGAGTGGGGTCCTGGAGGACAGTGGCTGAGAGGCCGCTTTTGCACTCATACCTTCCCTCTCCAATCAATCAGTCCCACCTCCCCACCACCATACTGTGAATTGAACCCAGGGGCACTCTACCACTGAGCTACATCCTGAATTTCTTTTTATTTTGAGACCTAGAACTTGCGATCCTCCTGTCTCAGCCTCCAGAGTTGCTAGGATTCTAGGTCTGCCCCACTGCATCCAGCCAGTCCCCATCACCCGAAATTTAGCTCCAGACCTTTGCCCTGAAGCTCAGCCCAACCCACTGTTGGAACAATACCTACAGGCTGGAGGCCTGCCCTTGAGCCCTGAAACCTTACCAACCTTGGCCTCTGAGGGGATTAGATCAGCCAGGCCTCCTTTCCCAACTTGACAGCAGGGCTGGGGCCTGCAGTCCAGGTTTTAACAAGCTCTCTGGAGGCTGTCCCTACCTCCTCCAGCGCCCAACTCAGAGATCTGCATGTGGGATGACAACTACCCATCAGGTGCTGCCATGCCCTCCAAGTTGCCAGGAGATTCAAGTCTCACTCCTCAGATCTTCTAACAGCCTGTGAACGTGGCTCTGTCAAAATACTTTAACTTCCAAAGAGCTGAGTACCCATTTCTGTATGTCAGACACTAGCCATATACTCACATGGACAGTCTTATTCCATTCTCACTAAGGGCAACCCCATACATGAGTGCAGTATCTTCTCCCATTACAGATGAAGAAATAAGGCTCAGAGACACCCTGCGTAATAGCGAGAAGCTGAGGGGTGTCCAAGCCCCATCTAGATCAATAGTGGAGAAGCTCAAAGACGCTTACAGTGTACACCCAACTCTTAGGTCCTCCCATCCCAGGCCCTGGGTCCAATATATGACCTCCCCAACCCCTACCCAGAAGCCTGCTCCAGAAGTACCTGGCAGATCAATGGCCACAGCCTGGTAGCCAGCCTGGGCCAGCCTGTGCAGTGTACCAAGGTTCTTCCAGGTTTCAGAGGAGAAGCGGATACCATGCAGTAGCAGCACAGAGAAGCCAGTGGCCTGCCCACTTCCAGGCCGTGCCTCCCGGAAAAAGAGGCTCTGGCCCTGCACTTGGATGGTGCCCTCTCGCTGCTCCACACTTGCCATTTCTGCTGCTGCTGTTCTGAAGTGCCTGTGGTTCAAAGCCAGACTGATGAGGAGCCACAGAACATCCTGCCCAGGTGGAGCAGGGAGGCTCTCAGAGAGGGGTCTGGAGTGGGTAGCAAGGAGGCCTCCAGGGCTTTAGAAACAAGCTTCAAGGTCATTTTTGCCTCTGCCACTCACTTAATTGTGTGACCTTGGGCCTCAGCTTCCTCATCTGCAATATGGGGATAATAAAGCCTACCTCAAGAATTATGAATTTTATTAAGAGTTTAAGAAAATAAATAACAGTGAAGCTCTTCTGCAGGTTATTGTTCTCATCGCTATTATCCTTTTGTACAAACGGGGACAATGCACTAGGATTAGCTTATAGGTGGTTAAGATTACATGAGGCCACGCATGTAAAATGCTCGCATCAGGCACCATGTTTAGCACGCAGTAAGTGCTCAATAGACAAAAAGGAATTTGCTTATCAACCTTATCTTCCCCAACGCTCTGTGAGTTGGAACTGCAGGCCGTAGGAGCCAAAGTTTACAATAAAATGCCCATTTTCTAAAGGCCGAAACTCAAGTGCCCAGCGGGCAACAGCTTTGGAGTTCCAGCCTGCAAGGGGCGCAGGGTGCTCAGTGTGCTAACGGCTGGGGCCCAACGCGTTGGCCAGGGGCGCGGTCAAATCCTCCCCGCTACGGTTCACTCGGTCTACTCCCGGGACCAAGGTTCGGCTCCCTAGGTCTGGAGGACCCATGCGGAAGCAGGGCAGCACAGAAGGAGGGGATCTGGGAAGCCGGATGGGAAGACTTGGGGTAGGTGCGAGTGGGTTCTGACCAGAGAGAGAAAGAGTGCGTCGGGCTTGCAAGTTGGGTACCTGGGGAGCGGCGTAGTCTCGCGCACACCGGAGGCAAGCGAGTGCCCGCAGCGGATGGGGAGGGAAACAGGGAAGAGGTTGACTCCAGGGCGGGGGCGGGAACAGGGGCTGGGACCCGGGCTGGGATCCAGGCGGGGACGCGGCCATGCTGCAGGGCGCCCTCTTGTGGCCACAAGCTGCCTCCGGGTCCGTCCACGCCACTAAACCCTCTTGTTCTTATAGAGACCTTAGTTTCCCCAAGCCACTCGGTCCCACATGCCCCAGGAGCGAGACTGGAAGCGGACCCGAAGCCCTCATGACATGCCCACTGTAGACTCGGTACACCTTGAGGATGCGGGCTCTTTCGGAATTGCATCCCTGTGCTGCTCCCTTCTTGCCCACTATCACCCTCATCCCCAGTCAGGTCTGCCCAAGCAGAGTTGTACGTCTGGCATAGAGTTAATGTTCTCAGGTTTGAGTGAAAGGCTCCGTCAAAGTTCACCCCGGTGGGGGGCTGGGGATGTGGCTCAAGCGGTAGCGCGCTCGCCTGGCATGCGTGCGGCCCGCTTCGATCCTCAGCACCACATACAAACAAAGATGTTGTGCCCGCCGAAAACTAAAAAATAAATATTAAAAAAAAAAAAAAAGTTCAGCCCGGTGACATTAGTCGTTTTCCCAACTTCTCCAAGCCTGTTTCCTCACATGTAGAATGGGTGGAATGTTGCCCACATCTGCAGGGTACCAGTAAGAATCGAGTTCTGTGCACTGTGCACAGCTTCTTTGTGCCGAGTTTGGTTACCACGCGGAGCCCTGAGCCTGGGACAGACCAGACTATGGTCACACATCGCCAAGCAGGATAGGTTGCATGAGAGACAGGAACTCAAGCCTGACTCGTGTGTGTGTGTGTGTGTGTGTGTGTGTGTGTGTGCGCGCGCACGCGCGCCTGTAACAGCTGCATAACAACAAATAGTATCTGCATTTACACAAGGAGGCCTCTGTGCCAGGCTGAGACTTGGAGACTTGACCGGTCTTAAATCCTTCCCATTGTATCCACAGAGATAACTGAGCTAAAGTGAAGATGTTCTGGGGACAAGAATCTGGTGGCTCTCCGCCAGTTCTTAAGCCCAAAACTATTCGGAAATTCTGGACGGGGAGGGTCCGGCCGGGTCTTGGTGCTTTGAGGCGCCACCCCCAGTCCCCTCCTCTGGAACTATTTGCTACGTAGGAGCCCCGCCTGCCAGCTGCAGAGTGCGCAGGCGCACTTCGGTGGCCTCACTTACCACTGCCTAGTCACGGAGCAGCCGACCTAGTGACGGAGGCAACGCCATGGCCTCGGCGCTGTTTGGCTCTTGGTTCCGCCGGGGCGGAGCCCGCCCCGCAGTAGCTTGCCGGGTCGTCGGGGTCGGCCCGGTGAGTGTCCCCTGGGAGGAAGGAGGAGGGCTGGCCCCGGGGGCGGGCCACCTTTCCCAGGCCTCCTGGGGCAGAGTCCTACTGAGGGGGCACGCGCTGGGTCTGGGAGTGTACTTGTGATCGCGTGTTGTCTGTGTGAGCACGCAAGTGTCTGCCTGAAGGCTGTATCCTTGGGAATCCGGGAATATGTATGTGTCCGCTTGTGTATCTGTCGGTCTGTTTCTTCGTACTGATGTGGGGGCGGTGTATTCGTGGGTCTATGTATGTCCACTTTGGGGTATTTCTCTATGTGTGATTATCTGTGGGAGTGTGATTATCTGTCTGTGCTTGTGTGTTTCTTATGTGAGTGTGTAGTTTTAGGATTATGTGTGACTGTGTGCTTGGGTATTCTGAGTGTCTGCATGTCGGTTGTTTGGGTTTTTTAATTTATTATTATTATTATTTTTTTCCATATTGGGATTTGAACCCAGGACCTTGCACATATCATGCAATCGCTCTACCATTGAGCCACATCCCCAATCCCTTTTTGTTTTTACTTTGAGATGAGGTCTTGCTAATTTGCCCAGGCCGGCCTCGAATTTGTAATTCTTGTACCTCAGCCTCCCAAGTGCCTAGGATTACAGGCATGTGCCAGAGCGCCCTGTACAAGTCGTTCTGAAAGAGTGTGCCAGTTCACTGTCTGCCTTCCTGATGCCTGACTGTGTGCGTGATTTTGAGAGTGTTATTGGAAGGACCAATGGGTGTGCGAGGACTCTGCATGTACGTACAGGGAATAGTTCGTACAAAAGAAAAGGGTACAGGAGCAAGACTGTGTGCACGTATGGACATGTGAGTGTCACTGTCGACACGTGTTTCGGCGGCCTAAAGGGCAGCTTGTTCTCCACCCACCCCATCCCAACCCCATCTCTAGAGCCACCGGTTGCAGCTGCAACAGTCTAGAAGGGCTGCACCCTGGATTGCCAAAGCAACCACCAAAGCCCTGCCCCTCCCTCCTGCTAGAGGCCCTGCAACCTTTCAGCAGACCCAACAGCCAGGAGGGGTCCGACCCCAAAGCTCAGTATAGTAGGAATCCAGTCTAACGCAATGTTGTAGGTGCTAGGTTGTGGGTATGCGTCCTAGGCTGTTCGTGACTAGGAAGAAGAGCCCGCTGTTTCTCCACCTGGCTCCTGGTTTTCCATCAGCACGTGCAGCTGCCATTGCCTACCCACCACCTAACTCCGGAACCTGGAGGGTAGGCGTGGGAGCCGGGGCAGGGGGAGGATATCCCTCCCAAATGTCCCTCAGAGGTGTGTGAGAGACCCAAGACTGGACTCCAGCTAGTTCTAGGTGGCACCCAGCTAGTGCTCAATAAAGATTATTTACTAGATGGGGTTGGGGTTGTGGCTCAGTGGAAGAGCATTCGCCTAGCACATGCGAGGCCCTGGGTTCGATCCTCAGCACCACAAGAAATAAATAAATAAACAAACAAACAAATAAATAAATATATATATTGTGTCCAACTAAAAAATAAATATGAAAAGAAAAGAAAGATTATTTACTAGAATCCTAGGAGAAGGCAGGCCGTGCTCATCCTAGGCCCAAGAAATGAGGACAGGGACAGAGCCCACCTTCCCTTAAGTCCCCTGTATTATTGAAATCTCACAGGAGACTTGAGAGAGCAACCAGAATTATCCCACTTTACTGACATACTGAAGACTCAGGGTCAGGAATTGGCAGAGACCTGTTTTAAAGCCAGCTCTACCTGACCTGCTTGGGCTCTGTCCCTGGGCTGGCAAAGGCCCTGTGCTGGAGGAGTCCATGAAGCAGGTCATTTGGTGTGAAGCTGTATGTGTGTCTGTATATGGGGGTGGGGACATTCATCTCTCCAACCTCCAGCTGCCTTTTCCATTTCTAGGTGAACCACACTCCTCCCTGGCCCCACACCGGCTCAGGCCTCTGCATTTCCTCCATCACCAACATTGTCTGTGAGCTTCCCCAAAACAGCTGTGGTCAGCCATTAAATATTCCCATCAACCATAAAACACATTCTGATTTTAGCAGTATTATATACAGAGTAATAAAATGAACTATTTCCGAGCCTGCCCTCAGAAGGTGGTCTCTTCAAATAGTCTTCCTCCTTGGATAGCCCTCACCACTCTATCCAGTAGAGGGGCTTCAGTTCATCCATTGCCTCCCATTTCCATGCTTTCCTTCTTCCAAACCAAGTGTGACCTGATGGTTAGGAGTCCAGCCCTGGGTTCAAATCCCAGTTCCCGCTTTGGGCTACTTGAGCAATAGAATTCACCTCTCCAAACCTGAATTTCCTCATTTGTAAGAGACCTGTAATTATATCTTCTTTAGTGTTCTTTATGGACCTCCTTGTTGTGGGGGGCTGAGCAGGAGCCTGCTGTCATAAGAGCTTGAAGTAAGTTTAATTATCAGGGATGATGGTCACTGAGCCTGCTGTGTGCTAGAGGGACAACTCGGATGCACCTCCTCACACTTTGAGCCTTTGTCCTGGCATATGGAGTGGCTGGGTATTGAACCACCAGTCTTTTGTCCAGAGCAAAGGAAGGGCCAGAGTTGCAGATCTTTCTCTGTAGGGACTTCAGGTTGGGGTTTGGGGATGGGTCCAGACACCTTGTAGGGGCTCAGCCTTGCTTCTTTTCCTTCTCCCTCCTCCTCCAGACTGCGGTACAGACCTGCGTGAGCCGGTACAAGGCTGCTCTGCTGGGCCTAGGTGTATTATTGTTCATGCTGCTATTGTATGTGGGACTGCCTGGCCCCCCTGAGCAAACTTCCTGGCTCTTGGGAGACCCCAATGTCACAGTCTTGGTTGGTCTTACCCCAGGAAACTCCCCCATCTTTTACCGTGAGGTGCTTCCACTCCATCGGACACACAGGTGGGTGTAGACCTGAAGGACCCCAGCCTGACTCAGGGTGCTCGGGACCTACAAAAGCAATAGGAAAAGCTTAGGGAGAAAGAACAGTAGGCTGCCCCAGGTTTCAGGATATATTTCCCTGTGTGCTTGCAGGGTGGAGGTGGTGCTGCTTCATGGAAAGGCCTTTAACTCCCACACATGGGAGCAGCTGGGCACACTGCAGCTATTATCACGGAGGGGCTACCGGGCTGTGGCCCTTGACCTTCCAGGTGAGCACCCCAACCCTTAGATCTAGGGAGGCAGGACATAGCAATTACAAAGGGGCAGCTTCCCAGAAGGGGAAATTGGAAGGGTAGGGAAGCCTTAAGGTATGGCTTGGGGGCCTCTGGACCTCAGTGTCTGGATAAGCAGTGGCAGGTCACAACACAATATGTCACCATGAAAATGTGTATTTATATTGTTTTCCTTGAAAATTACAGTGTGTTTGTATGTCAGAGCAAATAGAAATATGACTCACAAACTCTGTGGCTTTTTGGTTTTTTTAACTACACAAATGATTTGTGCTATCAATTCTTCATCACCACCACCCCTGTGACACTTCCTCTTTCCTTGGTGCTGGGGATTCAACCCCAGGCCTCGTGCATGCATGCTAAGCACACGCTCTTCCACTGAGCTACACCCTTAACTGATACTGTCATTTTTGTCATTAAAAAAAAAAAAAAAAAGTGAAGCCTTCAGAGATTGTGCCACATTTCACTCCCTCTCTAAGCAGTTGGCAGGGGTGCTAGACCCCTCTCCTCAGCATTTCCACACATAGAAACACAGATGGTATGCAGGATAGTGTGGTGAGGATTGAAAAAATGATTAGTGTCTTGCTGGCTCTGCAAGTCTATCTGAAATTTGGTTTTCTCCCCCTACACTATGACTCTTGGATCATGCTGGTCTCTGCAAATCTCCTTTGATCTGCCATTCCTCTACTGGTGGATATGTAGATTGATTTAGAGTTTTCAATGTCAGTTGAAATCCTCAAGAGTAAAACATTTTTGGACATGCTTCTTTAAGCATGGAGGCAATACTTTTTTAGGGTAGTTATTGAGAACAATTGATGGATCAAAGGATACACATTTTAAAATTCTGAAAAATACTACCTCACCCTCCAACGAGCTGCACAGATTTATTCTCCCATTAGTCATATATGAAAGTGCCTGTTTTTCTACATCTTTCCCCAAAACTGGGTATTGTCAGGTATTTTTTGTTTCAGGTACTAAGGATTGAGACCAGGGTACTCTTATCACTGAGCTAGATCCTTGGCTAGAACTCACTAAGCTAGATCTCACTAAATTGCTGAGGCTTGTCTCAAACTTGTGATACACCTGCCACAGCCTCCCAAGTGGCTGGGATTACAGGCATGTGCCACTGTGCCTGGCTAAAAGATATTTTTCTAGCAGGCCTATTACATTACAAAAAAAAAATTGCTTCTAGGAAGTTTGGGGTAGCATGTACCATGTGCCACTGGTCCCCATGTCTTCTACACTGTGGTGGGAAAGAAGTCCAGATTCACCTTCAACTAGTACTTGCTGCCATTCCCAGGTTTCGGGAACTCAGCACCTTCAAAGGAAGTAAGCACCGAGGCAGGGAGGGCAGAGCTGCTGGAGCGAGTTTTGCGGGACCTGGAGGTGCAGAATGCTGTGTTAGTGAGCCCCTCACTGAGTGGCCACTACGCCCTGCCCTTCCTGATGCAAAGCCACCACCAGCTACGTGGATTCGTGCCCATCGCTCCCACCTCCACCCAGAACTACAACCAGGAACAATTCTGGGCCGTGAAGGTACTAGAATAAGGATCTTCAAAGGTCACTGTGGCACCCTCTCCCTAATTTGTGTCATGGAGGGGGCGGTCAGGACTCAAGTCTTACTTGGTGGGACATGTCTCTAACCGTGATTTTGAATGGAGGAGGTGGGGATTCAGAAAGTCTTCCTAAGATAATAACTTGGGGATCAGATCCTCACCCGTCTCCAGGATCACAGCCTCTTGCCTTGCCCTGCAGACCCCAACCCTGATCCTGTATGGGGAGCTCGACCACAAACTGGCTCAAGAGTCACTGCAGCAGCTCCGCCACCTGCCCAATCACTCTGTGGTGAAGATACACAACGCAGGCCATGCCTGCTACCTCCACAAGCCACAAGACTTCCATCTCGTCCTCCTTGACTTTCTTGACCATTTGTCTTGAAGTAACCCACTTCTGAAGCCCTAGGCCTATCCTGTGCTAGGAGGGTCTGGACCACCACTCTCTCCCCACCAGGGATGCAGGCCCAGCCAGGCCCAAGGGGCAGGCCCAGCCAGAATATCTCATTTCACTTCACAGGCACAATAAAGAAAAGCATATTTGTTTTGCCTAGAGAGTAACAGGCTCTCTTTCCTGGTGTGCCTCCAGAGAGGTAGGGGTGGGAGGCAAGTTTGGGACTGTTTAGGGGCAGGTGCTGGGGTTGGAGGGGATGCTCCAGAACCCTGTGGATCCAAGAGTGAGCCACTTCCTCACTGTATGACTTCTGTATGCCTTAGTTTAGTCATCTGTTAAACAGACATGATGGTAACATCTAGCTCGGAGGGAAGTTGTAGGATTGAATGTGTCTGGTAAGTAAAGCATTTGGTCATGTGGAGATGGGGAAAGCAGGGGTGCATGTTAATGCTGCTGTATGACCACTGAGATTGGTGGGAAATCCAGGGTCTGGGTAGCTGAGCTGAGTTTGGAATGTAGAGTGTGTAGACACAAGTATGGGGAAACTGGTTTACGAATTAAAACAGCATTGTTATTGAATCACAAGCCTGTTTGCTCCTTTGTTATGTGTGGGTGAACATCCGGAGACTTCAACCCCAGGAAGGATGGGATGGGCCGTTCCCTTACCCTTCCAGACTGCTTTCTTGGTCCAGGGGTTGAAGTTTTCCACTCCTGTGGGCTGCCAAGCTGACTCAGCCACTGGAGCAGAGAGCAGAACTGGTTGAGAGTGCAAAGAGCAGCCAGTTACACAAGTGTGCACATGCAGGTGGCCAAGGGTACCTCTATGTCTGTTTCTCCGTCTCTGGTGGGTGAAGAAAAGCCAGTTTGGCACAGGGGCAGCCAAGAGTGTGCTGTTTCCCCCACGTCTCACTGTCATATGGCGTCAGGATTGCATCTTTTTCAGTGGCATCCCATCACACTCACTAACTCACATGCATATTGTCCCACATATGGTCATGTCCGCTGATACACAGGTTTGCCCACACCGTGGCACATTCACACAGTCACACATATTCCCAACAATGCCATGTATCCTTCATTCCTGGTATCTGGACAGTTGTTCTGTGTCTGACCAGGGTCAGAATCCTGCGGACACGTGGACCAGCTTCCTGGAGGTCACAGTGTGGAACAGGTAGATATTAACCAAAACCTTACTGAACGTGGAGATGAGGCACGGGAGAATCTTCTTGATCCGCTGAAGCACGACAAGGAGAGCGGTTGGAGTCTTGCGGGAGGGGGTGGGGAAACAGGCCAGGCCTTTACAGCCCTGCGCCCTGCTTACTCAACACCGCAGCCGCCACTTTTAGCGTCAGGGACCGCCCTCTTCTCCTAGGGCCTCCTCTGGAGGCTGGAGGGGAAGGAGGTGTCCTCTAGGGGCGGAACCTTCTCGGGGTGGAGCCAGCCCCCAGCGTGCCGCCTGTGGGGCGGGGCTGGCGGCGGCCAGAGCTGCCCAGGGGGCGGGATCCTGGATTCAAGCCTCCAATAACTCAGTGGAGGTCGTGCTGGGTGGAGGACCCGGACCTAGGCGCCTACACTGCCGCAGGGAGTGGGAAGGTTGTTACTTGCAATCTGCGATATCCGCCCCGCGACCCGGCTTTGGGCCAAGTGGTGAGCGGATTAGGGCAGTTTTGATCTCGCGACCTTGCTGGACCCGGAGTCCTCGCCACATTTCTCGCAGCGGGAGCTGAAAGGCGAACGCGGGCCCAAGACCAGGAAAAAGAAAGGTGGGGGGGGGGGGGTCTTGGCTAGGGCTAGAGGTGTTTGGGGTTCTTGAGGAGGGCGTGGGGGAACAAAGTCCGTATTCAAACCTGGCTCAGCAACTCTCTGGCTGTCCCCAAACCTCTGTGAGCCTCAGCTTTCTTCTCTATAAAGTGAGCATTGAGAGACACAGAATTCCTGGAGCTCTTTGGGGAATTACATTAAGAATATGCGTTGAAAGCGGGCAGAATAGGGGCTCCAAAATAAGGTGTCCTCTCCTTTAGAACTTCTGGGGAGCCTCGGTGGGGAAGCCCTTTGTTCAGGTAGGGTCAGTTCTCCATTCACTCTGCCCTCAGTTTACCACGATCGGAGCCATGGCCAACAAGGATCCTGAGTCTGAGCACCCATCTGTGACTCTGTTCCGCCAGTACCTGCGCATCCGCACTGTCCACCCTAATCCCGACTATGGTGAGAACACGGTGGTCCCAGGGCCTGTGCTCTAACCACCTCCAACTCTGTCATTCCCTGTGTCAATAGATGTCACTTCTACTGTTGACCGCCCTTTTCCCAAAAGCTGTGTTGCTCCAAATGTTACTCCTAGCAACTGGTTAGGGAACAACTTCCCAGAGCAGGAGTGGTTGGAGAGAGGCCCTTCAAGGAGCTTACTGGGGCTGGATAAAGGCCCTCAGGAATCAAGCTTGGTAGCTGGGATTATGTACATGGGTTCAAATTTTTGCTCAATAGTTTGTCAGCTGAGAGATGTTGGGTGAATCTTTTCAAGTCTCTGGGCCATAATTTCCTTATCTTTTAAAGAAGAATAACACCTGCGGCTGGACATGGTGGCGCACACCTGTAATCCTAGCTCCTCAGGAAGCTTAGGCAGGAGGATTGCAAGTTCCAGGCCACCCTGTCTAAAAATAAAATTTTAAAAGGGCTAGGGATGTGGCTCAGTGGTAGAGCATTTGCCTAGCATGAGCAAGGATCCTGAGTTCAATCCCCAGTATCACATACACACAAAGAAAAACACCTGCTTCCAATCCTGGACTTTACCCTTGTCTTCCACAAAGTTGCACACTGGCCAAAAATATCTTTTTCCTTGGGGATAGAAATGCAGGTGTCTCTGAGGGTTATGAAATTGTGATGGGGAGCAGAAGCCCATCTCTGGATCTTTTTTTTTTTTTGGCTGCTTGGGCTGGTGGGAGCCATGGGTAGGCAGAAACAGCCCCAAGATTCTCTATACCCCCAGGCACTGCTGTGGCCTTTTTTGAGGAGAGAGCCCACCAGCTAGGCCTGAGCTGTCAGAAAGTGGAGGTAAGCCTGGAACCCTGGGTGGAGAAGGGCAATGGGCCTGGGGCACCTCCTCACCCTGACTAGACCAACTTCTTTTTTGACTGTCTCTAGGTGACACCTGGCTATGTGATCCCTGTGCTGACTTGGCCAGGCACCAACCCTACACTCTCCTCCATCTTGCTCAACTCCCATATGGATGTGGTACCTGTCTTCAAGGTATGTGTGGAGGGGTACATGCATACCTAGAGGACTCACAGGATGTAGACCTCAGAAATTCATGCTGCTGGTCCCAGCACTAACTCTTGACATCTGTATGCCATTTCTCCACTCAGTAATCTTTGTCCAGCAGTGATTCTCTGCCAGATGGTGATCAGCTACCTTCTTCAGTACTCTTTTGTACTCCTTACCACCCTTTCTGTCACCTCTTTTTCCCATCCCTATCCCTAGGAACATTGGAGTCATGACCCCTTTGAGGCCTTCAAGGATTCTGAGGGCTACATCTATGCCAGGGGCACCCAAGACATGAAGAGTGTCAGCATCCAGTGAGTATCTTTTATTCCCAGTCCCCTGCAGTGTCCTCACTGGACCAATAGCCTGACGCAGGAATGTGATTGGAGAACTTCAGTGTTAAGAGTCATCTTGACCCCTAGCTTGAGCAAAATTATTTCCATGACCATTGAACAGATGGGAAGACTGAGGTTCAGAGATGGGCAGGGACTTTCTGGAGCCCTTGCTAGATCGTGGCAGGGTAGGACTGCACCTTGCTAGCCCAGCTTGGCCCTGCCTGCTGGGCCATTCTAATAAGCATCTGTAGCTCCTGCAGCACTCGGCTTATGCCCCTTCAGGTACCTGGAAGCTGTGAGAAGGCTGAAGGTTGAGGGCCACCGTTTTCCTAGAACCATCCACATGACCTTTGTACCTGGTAGGAGTGACTTATGAAGGAGGGCAGCTTTGGGGTTGAAGGGGAGTGTCAGGGAGCAGCCCCCTTATCACAAGTCCCTGTGCTTTTACAGATGAGGAAATCGGAGGTCACAAAGGCATGGAGCTGCTCGTACAGCGGCCTGAGTTCCAGGCCCTGAGGGTGGGATTTGCCCTGGATGAGGGTGAGTAGGTTGCTAAGCCTCTGATCAGCCAGGATGGGGGTATGGAGGCTGCTAGTGGGGGCTGAGTCACTCCACTCTCTGAACCTCCTTTTCCCCTTCAGGCCTGGCTAACCCCACTGATGCCTTCACTGTCTTTTATAGTGAGCGGAGCCTCTGGTGTGAGTATGGGTGAGCTTGGAGAGAGGGTTTGCTATATATGTGGGTGATCAAAAAGAGCATCAGCCTACAAAGGATCACAAATCCCGTTAGAGTCCTGAATAGGCCTTGAAGCCAGGGCCTTTGCCTCTCACCTCTTCCTGCCTGGTCTCCTCTTTCCTGAGCTTCTGAGGGCAAGTTCTGACTAGAGGCACAACAGCTGTATGCTGTAATTCCAAGCAGGACAGGGTCCTGACAGAGGTGCTTGGAATAAGGGGGATACCTGGGATGACTGCATCTCCAGCCCTCTCATGTGCTGGAAATATTCTCTTCCCTCTACATCTCCCCAGGGGTGCGGTTTACCAGCTCTGGGAGGCCAGGCCATGGGTCACGCTTCATTGAGGACACAGCAGCAGAGAAGCTGGTACATGGTCCTTGGAGAATCTGGGTGTTTGGGAGGTTCCATCCTGGGGCCACTCTCACATCTCACTTCACGCTCTTCTAGCACAAAGTTGTGAGCTCCATCTTGGCATTCCGGGAGAAGGAAAGGCAGAGGTAAGGCGGTCTCGGAATGAGGTGGGGTGGAGGTGGCCCTTGGGAGGCAGTACAAGAGGAGAGGGAGGCTGAGCCACTTTCTTTTTATCTGTTTCCCCCCCAACTAAAGGCTGAAGTCAAACCCTCATCTGAAGGAGGGGGCCGTAACCTGTGTGAACCTGACTAAGCTAGAGGGTGGTGTGGCTTATAACGTGGTACCCGCCACTATGAGCGCCAGCTTTGACTTCCGCTTGGCACCGGATGTGGACCTGCAGGTGCTGACTCTGCCTGGGTTAGAGGGAGAGAACCTGCATCTTTAATCATATCTTTAAGAGTGCACTAGAGGCTCAGAGAAAGCCTAAGAAATCAGCTTGTTTCCCTTCTCTCAGGCTTTCGAGAAGCAGCTGCAGAGCTGGTGCCAGGCAGCTGGCGAGGGTGTCACCTTCGAGTTTGCTCAGGTATCACCTTGGGACCTATCCATGATGGGGTAGTCTGGGGGCTGGGGACGACTGGGCTTACCAAATGTGTGAGTGTAGGAGTATATGCTTGGTGTGTCTACATATATTCGGGCATTTCTTTAACCACGAGAGACATTTTATCATTCAATGAGCGTTGGATGTAAAGGCCATTGTGGGTGCTGGGAAATACAGTGGGGAGAAAAATTAGGCTTATTGCTTGCCTTCATGGTCCTTAGAACATGAAGGGGAGAGATAGACATAAGTCAAATATTTACTTAATATTGCTTTGATATGAGTGTGTACACATTTGATCCAGGAAAATGGGGGGAACTCAGAACATTTAATCTGGCATTGGACCAGTGGTCTGGGGGAGCCGTCCTAAGGAAGGGGCACTTGGGCTAGGCTCTGAAGGATAGACAGAAGGTAAGTGGATAGACGTTGTGGAAAGGTCCCAGACCACCTAGGGCATTTGAGGTCCTGGAAGAGGGCCTGTGGCTGCACTGGCCACCTGGATGTCCCTGGTAGATGGAAAGAGTTGTGCTCTGTGCCAGACATGGCTTACTCTTAGAAACAGGGCAAGATGCCCAGGCCTCTGTCCTGATCCTGCTTTCCTTCCCCTCCCTTAGAGGTGGATGAAGCCCCGAGTGACACCTATTGATGATGCAAACCCCTGGTGGGCGGCTTTTAACCGGGTCTGCAAGGACATGTAAGCATACCCACCAGCCCTCACCCAACCCAGCAACCTGTTCCTCTCCTTCTTGCTACCCCTCCCCTGCTTTTCTCCCTGCCTTCCTTTTCCTCTGGAATTCTTCCCCTGCCATCTCCTCTGTCCCCCTTTATTCATCAGGCTCTTCCCTCTGCAGGAACCTCACTCTAGAGCCGGAGATTTTCCCTGCTGCCACTGATAGCCGCTATCTCCGTGCGGTGAGCTGATTGCACTGGGGGATGGGCAGGGGGCTGGCCTGGATGCTGGCTTCCCCCCTAACAGCTCCTTCTTGCTCCTTCAGGTGGGGATCCCAGCTCTGGGCTTCTCACCCATGAACCGCACACCTGTGCTGCTGCATGACCATGATGAGCGGTTGCATGAGACCGTGTTCCTTCGTGGGATTGACATATACACACGCTTGCTATCTGTTCTGGCCAGTGTGCCTGCCCTGCCCAATGAAAACTGAGTCCCATACCCTCCAGGCTGCCCCAGAGCTTTCATCCCAACCAGTGCCAAGGACCTCCTCTTCTCCTGACCAGTAATGTAGCCTGTGTGGACAAAGGCAGCCCCTGAATACTAACACTGCACACATTCATGGAGAAGGGAGTCTTATTACTCTGGGGACATGCTGTTACCAACCCAATTTCACAGATGAGGAAACAGCTTGGCTCTGTGCCCTCATGACATAACACACTGTCCCAGCCACATCTGCCTAGCAACAAGGGGCCATAGTTCAATGGCTACCATATTCTGACTGTGAGGTCAGGGATACTGTTCCCATCAAAAGGGCATAAGTGTAATGCTAGTAACTCAGGAGGCTAGCTAGTAAGGTAGGAGGATCTCAAGTTTGAGGCCAGGCTTAGCAAGACCATTTCAAAAACAAACAAACAAACAAACAAAGCCTGGGGATATAGTTATGACATAGAACACCCCTGGTTCAATCTTCAATACCATAAAGGAGCATACCAAGATTAGCATCTCAGGGAACTACACCTGGCTTTCTGGGGATATACTCAGGATCCTGGGACAAGAATGGGACCAGATGGGCCACTGCCAGAAGTGGGTAGGCAGAGACAGCTTGCAAGGTATGAGCACCCTTTTTTTGTTGTTGTTGTTCTGTTTTGGTCAAAACCCACTGACTCTTATGTTGGGAGTAGGGCCCTGATAGATCCAGCAGACTGGCCAGTGATCATGAATCAGTGTGTGCAGAGGGGCCCAGGAGTTGAGTTTCAATCTGTCAGCCCTTGTCAGGATCCCATTTGATATAACTAAAGCCATCTTGATTATAACCATTTGCCTGCCTGGTAACCCTGCTGTATACTCCAAAACCTATAGGATATTATCAAGCCATTAAGGTAGTCAGCTAGCTTAACTGACATTTGACATATTAGTTTTTGCTGCTTTTTCTCCTCCTTCTTTTTGAGAAAACCCAGGCAGATCCCAGTTGGCTGTGGGTGTGGGCTACCTTTATTTAGTTTGACATATAAACCCCTTCCTCCTGCCTCAGGGTGCAGGGATCCTCCTGTTGCTGCCCAAGACCTGTTTCTTTCCTTTACCCTAATAAATTGCATTTTATGCAAACCTGGTTGCCTTTTTCTTTGGTCTCTTGGCACCTTCTACCTTTGGTGGCTTGTTCCCATATATTTATACTATACTAGGGTTTTTCTTAAAGTCATGGTAGTGCCCCAGGCTTAGCTATGGCCCTAAAAGCTGAGCTTACTCCTTTCCCTGATTGACCTGTCCTGCCTCCATGCCATGGGACAGAGAAGAGGGATGACTTTAAGTACATAGCTGTGGTCAGAAAGGAAGTCTGCAGATTACCAACAGTAATGACCCCTGCTCAGTTGCAAAGACCAAGGATTCTGCTTCACTGAACTCCCAGGGTAGCCCTTGGGACATAGGTCACACTAGAGATGCACAATCTGAAGCTCCACTTCAACAGGGTGGCCTAACTGGAGCTTGGAGATGGAGTCAACTCATTAATGTCTAGCTGAAGCCCCTGACCTGGAGTTTCTTGAGGTTGGGGGTTTGGCCTTTCTCTCACCCTCAATTGGAGCTGGTTATTTTCACTACACCACCTATCTGGGGCATTTGGACAGAGGTCTTGCTTTGCAAGTCATCAGCCACCTTCAGCACACAAAACCTGCTCCTACTTCCCTGCATTTTACTCCCTGGCACGGGGCAGGTGGCTACCCACAGAGCTAGCATACATTCTTGGTTGGATATTCTAAATAAACTGGGTTTAAGTGCTACCACCTGGCATTGAAAAAAAACCTACTTCCTGAGGTTGACATGGACCACCCGGGTTCAAATGCTACCTCCAGCCTTTCTTAGCCACCTGTGTAACCCTACTTCAGGGGTAGTGAGACAAATCACCCATAGGCAGCCAGGAAAAGTAGAGAAGACTGGGGGATCAAGCTTCCCATGACAGCTGGTCCCAGCTGTGAGAACAGCCCCTAGACACAAACAATTGCAAAAGGTACTTTCTCTTGTGCCAACAGGCCCTCACCCCCACCCTTGTGCTAATGAAGGATTATAAATCACTTTTCTCCAAATTTTTCTGAAGATGACAAAATATGTTGATTGGCCTTCTTTCTGAATCTTATATCCCACCAGTTACCTATAGGAACAGATCTAAGCCCATAAAACACCAACAAATACCCTTCACTTGGGATCCCTCCCTCAGGAGCTCTATTACTCTGTGTGTGTGTGTGTGTGTGTGTGTGTGTGTGTGATTATTTTACAAAATTTTGGGGGGCTGGGGATGTGGCTCAAGCGGTAGCGCACTCGCCTAGCATGTGCTGGGTGCTGGGTTCGATCCTCAGCACCACATAAAAATAAAATAAAGCTGTTGTGTCCACCAAAAACTAAAAAATAAATATTAAAAAATTCTCTCTTGGGCTGGGGATGTGGCTCAAGTGGTAGCACGCTTGCTTAGCATGCGTGAGGCACTGGGTTAGATTCTCAGCACCACATTGAAACAAAATAAAGATACTGTGTTCACCTAAAACTAAAAAATAAATATTAAAAAAAATTCTCGTTTAAAAAAAAGTTTATTAAATTTACAAATAATCCCAACACAACACTTAATTCTAGCTATAGGTGACAAAAGATGTTACAGCAGGGATCCTGATGTCTAAATAGAAATGGAATCATCCTCACCATCATTTCAAGCACAAGAATCGGCTTACTTTTTGCCAGTAATTCCACTTGTGGCCAGGGGGCCCTTCCCCGTACTTTTAGCTTCTAAAGTTTCTACTGCTCCTCTTTTTGTTTGTCTGAAAGCCTTATCTCATCCATCTCCTTGGCCTGCTTCTTAGGTTGTTTCAGGGGCTTCTTCTTGCCACCTTCCCAGCAGGACATGGCGCCTATTACTCTTAATTAAACCCTGTTACTTCACTTTCATCCTTACAATCATGAATTTCGTTCCTTAAATTCACAAGACAAAGAACCCACCTGACATCCATGCTCCATATAACAGAGAGGACATGTCCCAGGCTGCACCCATTACTCTTGACAATAAAATGGGGTACTGTTGTACCCCATCTGAGTCTCCAAAGTGACCAAGGTTGGGCTATGCTTTTTTTAATGTTTATATGTGGTTCAGGTTGAATCAAGGGGCACTCCACCACTAAGATATCTTACTAAATTGCTGAGGCTGGCTTCAACTGGTTTTTTTTTTTGAGAGAATTTTAATATTTATTTTTTTTTAGTTTTCGGCAGACCCAGCATCTTTGTTTGTAAGTGGTGCTGAGGATGGAACCCGGGCCGCACACTTGGCATGCCAGGCAAGCACGCTACTGCTTGAGCCACATCCCCAGCCCTACAACTGGTTTTGAAGATGAAATGTACACAATCACAGCCTCTGGGACAGGAGTCCCCTCCTTTGCTAGCAAAGCAAAACTTCTTTGTCCTTCTCCCCCCTCCCCAGCAAAAAAAAAAAAAAAAAAAAGTATAAGTGCTTTACTTGATACTATTTTTTTTCTTTTTTTATACCAGGGATTGATCCTAGAGTCATGAACCACCAAGTCAGCCTTTGAGAAACAGTGTGTTGCTAAATCTTTAGGGCACTAAGTTGCTGAGTTTAGTTCAGAACTTGAGATCCTTCTAGTTTCAGGATTCTAAGTGGCTGAGATTACAATTATGCACTACTACACATGACCCAAATGGTGCCTTCTATAGGAAGCCTCTGGAGATGTTCATTACAACTACTTATTCCCCTAACTTCTCTGAGGATTAAGACCCTGCAGGCAGATAATCAGTCACAATGGCACACACCTGTGATCTCAGCAGCTCAGGAGGCTTAGGCAGTCTCAGCACCTTAGTGAGACACTAAATAACTCAGCAAGACCCTGTCCTTAAATAAAATATTAAAAAGGGCTGGTACCAAAAAACTAAACAAAACAAAAAACCAGCTCAAGTAGAGAATTCTTCAGTGGGGCCCGTTCCAGACTCCTTCCTTTCTTTATCAGCTTACCCAACCAGGCAAAGAGGTGTCCTACCTACGCTGAAAGCTCTGGCCATTTCCTGACTGACCCACATCCCACCATCCACAGAAGGCTCAAGTCTGTTCCCATACCAAAGAAGGCAGCAACCCCACCCAACCCCAGGACAACAGACACAGGCTAAAAGATCCTGCCTCTGGATTTATTTGTACAAATAGCACAGGAGGACACCAGTTCCCATAGACAGAGGCTCAGGGGTCACACCAGTCCTTCTGTCCTCATACCCAGAGGATTTTATTATGGAGCCTTTGCAGGGACCTGGGCACCCTTGGGGGCCTGGGCACCCTTAGGAGCAGGAGCCGGAGCCGGAGCTGCAGCTGGAGCTGGAGCCGGAGCCGATGCTGGAGCTGGAGTTGCAGCCTGGGTCTTGGCTTGGGCTTTGGCCTTTGGCCGGTTGAGCCTGCGTTCCCTGGCCATGTGGGCACGAGCACGCTTCGCGTGCTTGGGATGGGCTAGCAAGGCGAGGCGATCAAGCTTGCGGCTGGCACCCTTTGGCATCTTGGGCTTAACTTCCTTAGGCTTTGCAAGGGCCTTGATAGCCTCGGCACGTGCACTCATGGCCTTGGCGTTATTTGCCTGCATTTTTTTCAGGCCCTTCTTATTGTGCTTCTTGGCAAAACGCATATTTCTCAGGAACTTGGGGTCTACCTGGAAAGTAGGAAAGGTATAAGTGGCAGCATATAAAGTCCCCAAGTCATGCCCTGGTGTCCTCTTCTATAAGGGTGCCAGGCACTCTAAAGATAGCATCAAATCAACCTTAAACATGGAAATAGCCAATCCTTTAACCACCACCCACCCTCAAGGAGCCAATATTCCACCTGGCTAATGGTGTGCAGTCACATTTTCAAGGCCACACCTCCAGAACCTAGTAGAGCTAACAGTCAAATGTGAATGCTGATAGAAGGAACAAAGGAAAGCTGACCTCTCTGCCAAAGTTGTAAGGCATGAATTTCCTACAGGAGTTCAGCTAAACCACCCCCACACCTTGACAACCCCTCAGGGATACCCCCTTCCCCTTTAAAGGAAGCTATCAATTAAATAACAAGCCTAGTCCAACAAATTCACACCAAAGATCAGAGAGCAAGAGTACTGGGGAGGAACAGAGTAGGGAGAGGCTCAGCTCTCCCCTAGAACTTCCTGGCAAAGGGAGTCAAACTGTCCCTAAGCATAGTACTTGATCAGATAAAGATCATAAAGCACAGAGCACAGTGGCACAAGCCTGTAATCCCAGCAGCCTGGGAGGCTGAGACAGGAGGATGGCACCGAAAGTTCGAAGCCAGCCTCAGCAAAAAGTAAAGTGCTAAGCAACTCGTGAGACCCTGTCTGTAAATAAAATACTCAAGTGCCCCTGAGTTCAATCCTGGGTATCCCTCAATAAAAGATCATGGAAGAGGATCTTAAGGTACCCCCTACAGGCAAGACTGCCTCCCCTAAGGGCTCTGGCTGGGCAAGGGAAATGGCCATTGTACCCTCAGGATACAGGTTACATGGAGGGCTGGGAAAGCCAAGGAAAACTTTATTAGGTCTGGCATATAGAGAACGAAATTGTGTCCTTAACAGGGCAGGAAATTCAAGGGACAATTAACAACAGTACTTAGGCAGAGGCTGAATTGGAGGTGTGGGGGGGTACTACACAAAAAGGTCCTGGACATGCACCTCGAGCTGGGAAGGGACATTTTATGTTATTCAATGCATATACTTACCCCCTTAAGAGATTCATATCTTTGTGATCGGGGTTTCTTGATGCCATTTCTGTGCCATTTTCGGGCTGGGGGTGGTGAGGAGGAAAGAAATTAGAGCAGAAATTTTCTCTAATATCACTACTCAGTATCAAAGCTGGCAGGCTTGGGAAAACCATTAAGTCCCAGAGCAGATCTTCTTGAGAACTGAAAAACTCCTTACCACTCCTTACCAAAGTACCCTGGGTTTCTCAACTGGATACTTGGCTCCAAAACGTATAATCTCAGAACACTAATAACAAAATGAGCTCCAGAATGGTAAACCTTCACTGTGCTCTAGTATCTCCAAACCAATCTTTGCCAGGGTATGGGGCAGAGAGCAGGGGCCAAGAAACTTACACTGGTTGTGTGTGGTGTGGTTCTTAGACTTGGCCATGTCTGCACCTACAGGAAAAGAGCAGAGTTAAGGGGGGATACTATATTGACCAAACTACACTATTATATCGTGTGCATGTGCGAACACGTAACAACGAATCCCACTATTATGTGTAATTATAATGCACCAATAAAAAAACACAAGGGAGAAAAGCAGCATTAAGGACTGAGGGAGGAAGGGCCTCTCTGGGATGCGCCACCTCTGCTGCCCTGATCTGATGGAACATGATGCTGCAATACAGACGCATTATATTTGCGACTTCCACCAGTATGGACTCACTTAACACGACCCAAAGTCAGTTCCTGCCTACCAAACCCGGGTAATGATACCTTGAAACCAACTCCCCGCACTCAAAACATTGAGCTCCCCGACCAATTCCGAGGTCCTCCCTCAGCCATCCACCTCTTGAGCAACACCCCCACCCTGTAGTTTTCACTCTCCACAGCCACAGAATCGATCCCCCTGGCTTCCCCGCGGCCGACACCCCAAGCTCCGCGCCCCACGTCCGCCCGTAAGCCGCGGATGGCACCAGATGCCGCGCAGACAACACACCGCGAGACGCCGCTCCCGGAGCGGTTGAGACCGGAAGAGGAAGGGAAAGGTCTCAGCGCAAACCCGAGGAATGGGGCCGACCACACCGGAAGGTACTACTGGAAAAAGGTTCCCCGCGGCATCAGGAAGGAAAGTTCCGAGGCCCGGAAGGGCGCCAGCTCGAGGGAGAGGCGGTGCTACGAGTCTTGTCCCGCCTCCCTCCGTCGGTCTCCACCCCTTTTCCTTTGCCTTCCGTTCTTCCAGGACCTACCTCTTGGCAGTTGGTCTCCTTAAAGATCATGGAGTGCTGGATGTTAGGGAGTGACAGGAGATCTGTGTCTGGCCCCTGCTTAGAGAATAGACTGTGGCAGACAGAGGGGAGGAGGAAGAGTGAGAAAGAGGCTTGGGTGGAACACCATGGGAAGTGATGGCTGCCTTAGGATGGAGAGGAATGGATGCAGAGGGAGGAAAAAGAGGCATGGAACCAAAGACTTGGGTTTAAACGTCTGGGTGAACGGTCCTTTTTACAGAGATGGGGAAAAGTGGGGCTTTAGTCGTTTTGTTTTGAAGAGGTTATGATCCAAATGTTTCTTTTCACATGCATTAAATGTGAGATGACATCCAAATTGAGTAAGCATTGCCTCCTAACAACTCGGTTGCCCTCTCTGACTCTCCCCACCCCCTACAGTTCATTCGCCACACATCCAGGGAGCTTGAAGGTCTTTTTTAAAGATAGAAACCAGATCCTGTCCAAGGACAACCCTTCTGACCCTGGCAAACTCTCCTTGTCATTTGCTTTCCTCCAAACCTCTAGGCCTTCTTTTTTTTCCTGCCAAGTATAAATGCTTTTGCTGTCTCAAAGTCTTTGCACTTCTATCCCCTCTACCTGATCTGTCCTTTTCCCTGTTCTTTGGATGGTATGCTCTTTCTTGTTCAGGCCTCCCTGGGCGACCCTATTTGAAATAGACACACTCTGTCCCTTCTCCCCGGTTACTCTGTGTCCTCTCATTCTATTTGCTTCCTTCATAGAACTTCCCTGACTCTAATTATGTGTTTATTTATTTGTGTATGTGTTCATTGTCCCAGTGCCTTGAGTTTGGGACTGGTTTGTGTCAGATCAGGCTGGGAAGGCATTTGGTCACTTTTGTTTTTCTACTGCCTAACTGCACTTGATATAAACATTTGCCACATGAACACTCTTTGGCAAGGTAGGTTCACAGAGTGATGGAAGCATGTTGCAAAGTTTTAGGGAGTAAGGGGAAAGGAGGACTTAGGAACAGGACATACAAAGACTGACACATTCCTGAGAAAGGAGAGATTATTCTGTGAGCTGCGAGTTGGGAAAGTGAAAAGCATTTGCTGATTGGATGACCTAGTAGCAAGAAAGAAACAGTTGAGGCCAGAGAGGAAGATGTCTCTGAAGGAGCAAAGTCCCTGCAGAGTGCTGAGCACAGGTGGAGGAGCTGGTGGGCAGAGGTGGGGACTTCAGATGGTGGAGGTAGCAAGATGCCTGACGGGAAGTCTGGGCCTCAGCCCAGGGAATGGAAGAAGTGAGGTCAGAGGTTAGGACAAGTCTGACTTCTTTGTCCTTGAGAAAGAGAAGCAAGCAAGCATTTTAGATGTTGGCAGAGGAGGCTATGACAACTTTAAAGGAACTAGGCTGTCCTGCTCTATCTCCTTCCAATAGTTCCTAAAAAGTGAGCAGAGACACCCACTCAGGACCCAATTTTTTCAGGCTGTTATGACAGTGGAAGAATGAACAGGAGCAGAGAGCCTCATCTGATGGAGAAGGAAGATTCAAAGATAATCAGTGGCCAAGCAATACTATTGAGGTTATGATTGGGATAGGCCCAGGGTGAAATCCCAACTGCTAGGCAAGGGGGAGGCAGTGACAAGAATGAGGAGCTTTCTTTGGCTGTGACATGAGGAGGCCTGTCCAGGGACCAAAGAGGACCATGATCTGGAGCTACTGACTTGCCAGGCTTTTTCAAGATAGAACGGATGGTAGGGTCAGTCATGTGCAAAGGGATAGTTTTCTTTCTTTTTGTTTGTTTTCTTCATTCTTTCTCCCCTTTCTTTTTCCCTTTCCTCCTTCCTCTCTTTTTCTTCATAAATGCAACCTTATTTTGAACGTTTCTATAACCTGATTTTATGCATTCAGTCATAATTTGTGGCTGGGCATGGTGTAATTCTGTGACTTGGGAGGCTGAGGCAGGAGGATTGCAATTTCAAAGCCAGCCTCAGCAATTTATCAAGGCCCTGAGCAACTTAGAAAGACCCTGTTTCTAAATAAAAAAAAATACATACATATATATATATATATATATATATATATAGAGAGAGAGAGAGAGAGAGAGAGAGAGAAAGATATAGATAGATAGATAGATAGATAGATAGATGGATAGAGATAGAGATATGGCTCAGTTGGGTAAAGCATCCCTGGGTTCAATCCCTAGTACCAAAAAATAATAACAAAATTTTAAAAATAAAAAATAATAATTTGTGGACTTGTTTTCTTATCCATCCACGAAACCCTTTGTAATTTTACTATATTTTGCATTTTTGTTTGTGTGTGTGTGTGTGTGTGTGTGTGGTACTGGGGATTGAACCCAGCCCTGTTTTACACATTTACCAACATTATTCCAGGGTTATAGAACAGTGGTAGAGCACTTGCCTAGCACAAGTTAGACTAGGGTTCAACCCCCAACATTGCAAAACCAAATGAAACAACAACATAAACCCCAAGACCAAATAACAAAAACAAACAAAAAACATTATTCTGAGGTTTGGAGTGTATCTCAGGGGTAAAATGCTTGCCTAGCACCATTTATTCCCCCAACCACCACACAAAAAAATAAATAAATAAAATGAAAATATTATTCCAAGAAGAGGTCAATAAGCATCATGAGATACCAAAGAAGTCTCTGGAAATATATGTATTTCTTCAACCCTGTTACTTTGCTGAGTAGGTCCCACTGGACATTCTCCATATTCTCTCTCTCTCTCTCTCTCTCTCTCTCTCAATATATATATAAATTTTTTTAAGAACTTACCCTCCCTCGGAGATTGACACACTTCCACCCTTCCTGAGTGAGTAGCTACTATTCTCTCTCCAGTGCACATGGAAACCTGGGCACACTTGCTTTCCTCAAAGGCACAGCCTTGAGCAAAGTGCTACCTGGAGTCAGCAGAGCACCAATCAACCAGCCCCCTTTACACAAAATTCCTTGAGCACAAAACAGAGTGGGGGAGAGAGGTGTGAGGCCTGGGTGACAAGATAAATTTGTACTGAGCAGGGTGCTTGTGATCTTCCCCAGCCATATGGCCTGACAGGGCATTGTTCTGCATAGGCCTTATCCATACCCTCAGCCCAATCCTCAGACCAAGTATGTCCAGTGGGATCTACTCAGCAAAGTAACAGGGTTGGAGACATCTGGGGTTATTGCAGTATTTTTCACAGTCCTGGGTATATGTACAGACCTAATAAATGTTTAAGGAATGAATTGTGCACATTTCACAAATCTAAGCAGATGACAGAATCAGGGGCTGACTGGCCTGAAGGGGTTTCATGGAGGTAAGAATTAGCTGTTGTACTGTACTCAGAGCTCTGCTTGCTAAGCCTCAGTTCTCAGTGTAACATGGAGATAAAAACAGTCATTGCCTGGTAGGGTTAAACTGGGTAATTTGATTAAAGAAGCAGGCTCTGTGCTGAGTACATATTAGGTGCTCAATCATTGTTAGCCCCATTTATGCTTCTTCCCCGCAAGACCTCAGGGTTCAAGGAAAGAAAGTCATCAGCAAACAGATGCTAAAAATGAGGACAGGATCCAAGGAAGAACAAGGCAGAGCCAGGGTGGAAGAAACTGAAAGTCCTCAAGGGTGCTGATCCCCCTCAATCTCTGAAGTTCCAAGAAATAGGGACTACCAGTGTGTTCAGATGGAGGGACTATGAATGGTAATCAGAGCCACAGGAGAAAAGACCTGGGGGGGGGGTGAGGCCCCTAAGCATATTGAATGGCTTCACATTGAAGTCCCACCTCATTCTCTGTGTCCATAAGGGAAGTGCTATGACTGAGAGAGGCAAATGACAACTGCATGGAGAGGGTTTTCTGCAATCAGAATCCCTTCCAAACCATGGTCTGCTCCCAGTGGTAGTAAGCTCCCTGATACAAGGAATATGCAAGCAACAGTGAAATGACTGGTCTGGGAGCTGAAATATGCAATGAAGATTTGAAAAGTACAACTTTTTTTTCTCAGTACTGGAAATTTCACCCAGTGGTGCTCTACTACTGAGTTACATCCCCCTCCTTTTAAACTTTTTTTTTTTTTTTTTAATTTTGAGACAAGGTCTCAATAAGTTGTCCAAGCTGGCCTTGAACTTGCAATCTTCCTGTCCCAGCCTTCTGAATATATGAGATTACAAGCATGTGTCCTCACACCCAGGAAGTCTGGGCTTTAAAGTTCCTGGGAGAAGGAAAGGTGCAGTGTGCATTGCCAGGCTGAGTGAGGCTCAGGGTCTGCCAGTTCCAACACAAATTGGAGGTGCAGTGGCTCAGTGGTAGGGTGCTCATCTAGCTTGAGGAAGAAGCTGAGTTGAATCCCCAGCACCTAGAGATGGGGGGGGAGAGAGAGAGAGAGAGAGAGAGAGAGAGAGAGAGAGAGAGAGATGGAGGTGCAACCCCTTGCTCAGGTCATCAAAAAGACCCTCTCAGCCTCAGGACACTGATTTTCATCTGGCCCTGGGGTGATACAGTATCCCAAACTAGGAGTATGCACCTGTGGTCCACAAGGGGGCAGTGTGAAACCATGAATGGAATGTCACTGCTGCAGACACCAGCTCTACTCCCTCCCTGGGGAAATCCTCCAAGCCTTCTGGCAACTCAAAGCCATTTCTTGCCACTCACCAACGCCACCACCCCTACCACCAGATCCAGCTCTCTGGGATAGGTCAGGTCTCCCCAGGCTCCAAGCTCCTGGTAGGGTGGTGAGTTATGTTCCCCTAAGAAAGAAAGGGAGTCTGTGGGCATCTCTGAACAGTGCCCCTCCTGGCCCACTTTGGAGATACCCAAAGCCTCACCCTTAGAAATTCAAGAGACAGGCTTCAGCATCATATGCACTGGGGTTTTAATT